AGGAAAGGTTCATTGAGCTGAAAAAGTGGAGACTCGTTTTTTTCTTCAGCTCCGCTGCTTGTTTGCTATAGAAGATCATGTATCTGCCCTCAGCAGAATTATGAGTAGGATTTAATTGACCCACTGTCATTGACTAGGCAAGGCATTATTGGGCAGAGCATTGGCTGGGAAGGTCCTTGGTACACAGCTGTGTCAGCATTACAGCTTTTGAGCGCTGGGAGTCTCACGGAAGAGAGCAAAGTTCATAAAATGAGCCTGGCGAGAGCATCACACCTACCGCAAGAACGGTTCTCAGAAAGTGCTGTGGATGTTTTTGGAGGTTGGATCCCTTTATAGTTCAGGAAAGAGTTCATGAGGAAGAGGGCATTTCGATGGGCTCTTGAAGAATTATGAGGATTTCAGCTTTTTTTTTTTTTTTAAGGTAATGGGTGGACCGTAAGATTTCAGCTTCCTTTAGGAAAGTCTAGCCGTTTCATTTGAAGGGAAAACAGGATAAAGAGTGGTATCCTTTGGAGCCAAGATTATTTGAGACTTTTGAAAGTAAATAACCAGTATCACTGGAATACTCTTAACCATGTAAGGATGAAAGGAAAAATTTATATATATATAAAAACACACATTGTGTTTTCTGTTAACCTTTGTTTTATTCTCATTCTGGTGAAAAGACTAATTTTTTAGCAGCTTTACTGAGGTATAATTGATACACCATAAAATTCACCTGTCTTATTTTATTTTATTATTATATTTTGAGACGGAGTCTTGCTCTGTTGCCAAGGTTGGAGTGCAATGGCGTGATCTCAGCTCACTGTAGCCTCTGCCTTCTGGGTTCCCGTGATTCTTGTGCCTCAGCCTCCCAAGTAGCTGGGATTACAGGCGCGTGCCACCATGCCTGGCTAATTTTTTGTATTTTTAGTAGAGATTGGTTTTCACCATGTTAGCCAGGGTGGTCTCGAACTTCCAGTGATCTGCCCGCCTCGGTCTCCCAAAGTGCTGGGATTACAGGCATGAGCCACCACACCCAGCCAAATTCACCTGTCTTAAGTATATAATTCACTAATAGTAAATTTATAGTCTTAAAAAATTTTTAAGGGTTTTTCACCCATTATCACAGTTTAATTTTGGGATGTTTTCACTATCCCTACCTCTGTTATTTCATGAATGTTATAGAAATGGAATATATAGTATGTATCCTATTGAAATTGGCTTTTTTCACTGAGCATCACTCACTCCAGGCCCATCAAGCTTGGTGGGTGTATCAATAGTTTCTTTTTGTTTTTGAGCACTAACTATTCTATTACATGAACATACTGCCTGCTTATCCAATCATCAGTGGATACGTATTTCAGTTGTTTCTACTTTTGGCTGTTGGGAATAATGTTTTGTTTTTTTTTTTTGGGGGGGACGGAGTTTCGCTCTTGTTACCCAGGCTGGAGTGCAATGGCGTGATCTCGGCTCACCGCAATCTC